GCCTTTCAGATCGAGAGTACTGGTCTCCAGGTAGCTACTCATGGGTGATTCGATACCAGAAGTTTCGCAGCTGTTTTTAGGTGACATGAATTTCAAAGGTCTTCTCCAGTCAGGCTGCGACTGGAGATGACTTCATATTTTGGTGTACATGAAGGTGATGGGCGAGAGCCAGCTCCTGCTTATCGAGGAACATCTTGGGTATCTTCCGCCCTGGTACTCGTATCCACGTCCTCTGTCTGGGCTGCGAAAACTTTGCTGATATGTGACTCGGTCGAAATGTTTTTTTGCCCCCCTGTACGCCCAGGGGTCGGCAGGCGTGTGAGGTAGGCGTCCGGGTCGGTATGTTGCTGCTCAATAGGGCGCTATAAGGGTACCCTCCTTGGAAAAGGCGCTACGCAGCGCCTGTTCAGGGTCACGGAATTCTGCCATGCCAGTCGTATTAATCCTACTCGACTTTAGGGATTTATCGTGCCAACTGCGTAGTCCGGTGCGTAGACGCAAGGATCGAAAGAGCGACGAGGATGTTGTGGTCACTTCAAGTTGTAGTTATACATTATATCCTACGGTTGCCATGTATAACCTATGATGACAGCAACGCTCTTGCCAATCATTGCGAAGCCATGGAAGTGAGAAAGTCTGCGAATACGTACGTGGCTACTTGCGCAAAGAAGGAATACCCCAGTTTGGTTAGGCGCGGGTCTATTTAGGAAAATTCTCCGCCCATCCACCACCTTGGACCGCCCCTTTATCAGGACTCGAGGATCTCCGCTCATTTTCTTGAGGATAACACGAACAGGCAATTAACGTTGAAGTCTCCTAGGTCTCTATCTCTCCTTGGGATGCGCTAAGTCGTAATGCAAGGCATCATATGCTATATGACTTGGGCTGCCCCCCCCACCCTGCCTCTGACACCGAAACTCTTTAATTACCGACTTGCATCTTTAGGCCATGTGCAGGTCTTTGTACTTATGCTTTTCGAAACCACGGACCAAGCACAAGCTTTGTTAGCCCAGGCGGGGTTTGATCCAAGATTTTCTTTTCGGACTACGAATGTGGTAAGCGAAGCAACTGACAACGATACAACACCACATCAACTGGCAGAGTATTTCTTTGCTAGTTGACTTGAAATACAGGGGCATTTCTACGTTGAATAAATTACGCCTTCTTGTGGAAGCCGCGCACGTGGTGTTAATTTGGAGGCAGCGGCACGATTGCTGGAGGCGGGCAGTTGCTGCTAGCGCCACTGGTGGAAGGGCTAAGAGGGCGCACTCAGCCCTTCCACCAATGACGACAACGTTGGCGACGACCGCCCGCCCCCAGCAAATGTCAACTGAGTTCAACGCCTTCGGCGCCATTTCTGCAAAGCGTGAGAAACATACCACACCCAGTAATTCCAAATAAACCCACATTTTGCTTCTTCATAACGAAATCAGTAGGTGGACGGTGCTTCTCTCCAGAATCCGCAGAGTAGACAGTGGCGTGACCATGAGGGTCCAACTTCATGCGTGTGTTGAACTGATAGGTGACCTGAACAAAAAAACGATACAAGAAAGTGAACCAGTAGGCCCAAATGACTGGGACAGAGACCGTCCTTTTTCAGTGATAATGATCGCCTCATAACTCACTTCTTTTCCACCAGCACGAACGAGCAGTTTCCAGTGAGCAATGCTAACTTCTTCATCGGTGTTGTTGCTAATACGCACCCA